AGTCTCTTGCGATTTTACTCAGACTCACCAGATCTATGCCTGCTGAAGAGCTGAAAAGCAGTAGGGCAAGGTATACAGGACTGGCTTGTAATGAACATCCTGCAGTAATTCCACTTGAATTCCACTCAGGCACAAACCAGTGCTAGAGCCAAAATACAAAGTGGTTAGCTGGCTGGACTGCTCTACTGTAGCCAGCTCTATGTTAACTCGTACACCCATGCTTGCTGCTTTTATGCTCTTGTAAATCATTTTTATGTCTTCTTTCTAAGTCAAGCTATTCATCTTTTTTTGTATGTGAATAGATTGCCAAGCCCAGTACCCCAGCTGGTAACACTTCCCATTAAGGTAACATTAATACAGATTTTATGAATAATTAATACATGATTAACAGAAATGGCTTTTCCCTTAATAAATTATGGTAATTTGTGCTATAATGCTTTCTAAGGGCAGGCTGAAATAATCTTATGTGCTCCAATACAGATGTGTTTTAAAAAAAGCTTTCTTCTAACACAGTATTAATTATTTTGGGCTCATTTACACACATCTCTGCAGATGCTACCAGTAACTTATCTCACAGCAGTTTATTAGAAAAGCTTCTGCTCTGCAGTTATCAATAACATTATAAAACATTCATATACCTTTTCCAGTCCCGAGGGTTCTCAATGCTGTTTAGAAATTATACACACAGAGTTTCTGGTGGATACAGCGTCTCACTTCACGGGAAATGGAGGGGAGAAGGATAATCACGAGGAAGAAAGTTTCAGGCACCTTTTATCCCACGCACAGAGAAGATCAGAGTTCTGCAACAGTGCTGCACGCCAGGCCACTCCAACAGCTACTGAACCTCCGAATTATGGAAATGACGTATTCCAAATCTGTTTAAAGCACCATCTTACCTTAACTATGTTGATTACAAAAGTTACCCAGTTTTAAGGCATTAATCTTCATAAAGGAACAGTGCATAAAGGAACAGTGTCTTTGGATATTTCAGTGGTCAACTATTTCTTTCTAGAAGTTAAACCACACTATTTGTGTTCAGAGGGGAAGATATGTATTTGCAACAATTTTTAATTATTTATGGTATTTTTTTTCATGTTGTTAAACCATCTCGTACACCATCTGAGCATTTTAATTTTGAAGTACCCAGAATGTTAAAAACGAAGACATAATATTTGGGTATAGATTTTAAAATTTTCAAAAAAAAGCTGATCTTGTCATCTCTGTGCGTTCATAGAATAGAATCATAGAATCATTAAGGTTGGAAAAGACCTCTAAGATCATCAAGTCCAACCGTTAACCCAACACCACCATGCCTACTAAACCATGTCCCAAAGTGCCACATCTACATGTTTTTTGAACGCCTCAAGGGATGGTAACTCCACTACCTCTCTGGGCAGCCTGGTCCAGTGCTTGACCGCTCTTTCGGTGAAGAAATTTCTCCTAATATCCAATCTAAACCTCCCCTGATGCACCTTGAGGCCATTTCCTCTTGTCCTGTTGCTAGTTACTTGGGAGAAGAGACCAACAGCCTCCTCACTAAAACCTCCTTTGAGGTAGTTGTAGAGAGCGATAAGGTCTCCCCTCAGCCTCCTCTTCTCCAGGCTAAACAATCCCAGTTCCCTTAGCCGCTCCTCGTAAGACTTGTGCTCCAGACCCTTCACCAGCTTCCTTGCCCTTCTCTGGACATTCACATTGGATTTCACAAGCAGTAGTTGATTTTGGTTCCCCTCTACGTTTCTGTTGCATGAACCAGAGCCCCAGAGAGGACAGCCCTCACAAGAACTTCTTCCTGCAGTTCCTCTCCTGGCACTGTGTCAGGCTCACGGCTCTTCGAAGCACAGGTAAAACTGAACTGTGCTGCTCCTGGGATGATTTCAGCATCAGGACCCTCCTTCTACAAAAGAGGGAGTAGGGAGAAGCAAGGGTAAATCTTGACGTGAGCATCCCCAACAGCCAGCCTTGTGCACCCCTGTGGACAGGGGCAGAGAAAGGAGTCAGGATCCTGTGCCTGGAGGGGCTGCCATCCCACGTGGCCCATCACAGCTGCAACCTGGCTCTCCCCAAACCAGACTCTGCTGTAAGCCAAGAGACAGAGGTGGTCTGGCTCTTCTGCTGTGCCTGCTGTCCCGCACAGCTAATGTCTCTCGATATTTACTAAATTGGTTCTTTGCCTACATCCAGAACTGACTTCTCTATGGGACTGACTGATGAACAAATGCCGATTATCCCTCGGTTTGACCAAGATGAGATAAAATAAAAAAATCCCAGCAGAGCACATGGCATAAGCTTTCTTTGCTGGTCTGCAAGAATCTGGACTGTTAAAGTCTTAATGCACTCTTTTTTGTTTTTCCGCTATACCTGTTAGATACGTAGGTTTGAAAAGTGTTAGAAGTCCTTGAACCCTAATTTAAGAAAATATCTTGTTCAGATGACTTTTAAGTTTACACTTAAATGTACTGCAATCAATAGATTTAAGATACAGGAAGAATTAAGGTAACCTGTAAGCACATATTGTCATGCATAGGGACAATCATATGACAACAGAATCGCTTTTCTGACCTATGGGCCCAGCTCAGGTTTGGGGTGCATTTAGGAGGAGTAACTTAACATTTGCACTGTGGAATTAATTTCTTTATATACACATCCCTACAAAATAATGCAATAAATCAAAACATATAAACTGTGTTCTAAATAGCGTATTCCGATATGTACTTATTTTAATAGGGGGAGGATTTTTTTATTTTTCTCAAGTGTTCTTGTATATATCCTATGAAGCAGAAAAGGACTAATTCAAATCTAGTTAAGAAAGCTAAGTTAATCTCAGAACAACCATTTCTGGCCCAAAGTAGAAGTCGACCTTAGTTTCCACTTTGTAGCACAACTAATTGTCCCTTCCCACCAGAACAGCTCAGTAACTGTATTTTACTGTTTACCTGGAAAAGTCTGAACTTCCAGCAAAGAGAGAAACTGCAGTTTAAGGAAGTCAACATTATAAACCATTAAACAATGAAGGCATCACCATGAGCAGCGATGCATATAAAGACTGTATAGACCATATGCATATAAAGACTACATATGTAGTGATGCTTTTAAAGACTATAGCTTTTAGACTTTTGCATGAGGAAGAGAGAGGTGAGAGCTTCCTGTTTCCTGAACACCGTTAAATAACTACAGCAGGACGAGATAGAATTCAGAATCAGGCTACGGAAAGGAACAGAAGTACTTCATATTTAGAATACCCATTTTTCATTCCAATTCCAGGATTTTCCTTCCTTAAATTAAAAGACAATTAGATTGTGCAACAACAAAATGCCAGAACAAATATTTTATATGTCTGCAGTTCCCAC